GATGGACAGCAAAAGCCAGTGGCGGAGGCCGATGTACTGCTCCCAGAAGAGGAAGGGGTAGCCGTTGGGGTAGCTGGAGAGGCCCAGGCTTGTGTAGTTGTTGCAGATGGTTCTGACTTTTTCAATTGCTTCCACGAAGTCGGAGGTGTCACGCAAGCCATTGAGGTAGAAAGGGAACTGAGCATATTCGATGGGCTCTGCTGCTGGGACTGGACAGAGAAGGCGACAAGGAGAGAACCATGGGTTAGGGGCTCCCAGCAACACTGAAAAAGGCAAATGGATGCGATCCAGGCAGAGAAGAAATGTAACAAATTCCCACGGCTGGCCACACCAGATGTGCGCCCCTGGATTCTCCATAATTACAACGAACAGAGAGAAAGCGCTCTGCAAGAAAGTCTACTTACTGCACTTCTTTCAACATAAAGAACAAACAATATCAATGACAGTCTTCGGGTCTTTACAATTTTAATCTCTGGTTTAAAAAATTTTAAGCAATAATCAACCTTTGATATTTTGGGGGGGGGGAGAGGAGGAGCCTGTGATCTGTGTGTTTATTTAACCTTTGATTTTAAAGTTTTAGAAGCAGTCACTTTTGTAATGGGTCTAAACAACTTAAGAATTCAATTGTGGGAACATTTTTTGTTCAACTGACACAAGTGAAAATACTAAGTTCAAACTGTTTCACTCAATCACTTATGAGAACAAAATAACTCGAAAGTCATGCTTTACTGAGGAAAATGCTTAACTTTCTTATCCTTTTAGTGATCTAATACACTTAAACCTTCCATGCCTCTTTTCTAATGCAATGCTAAGTCTTCAGCAGCAGGGGAAGAAATCCTTACACAACGAGCATTTAGTTACTGCCGTTGTGTGTTCCAGACCCTTTGGGGTCATTCAGTTGACTTGCTAAACATGATTTGCCCTATTATAATCTCAACTATAAATTTTCATTAAGACAAGCCTTGGCTGCTTGCCACAAGGCTCTGGGGTTTAGATACAGGGACACACAACCCGCTTGCTCTCCAGACATGTTTGCAAAGGGACCCGTCTTCTTTCTCACGTCCTCCCTCAGCCTCATATCCAAGGTATAAGCTACTAATATCGCTAACATAAATGCAAATTAAATCCACACAGAACCACCTTTCAAAGTCAGGGCAGAGAGGTGAAAGGAAGAGGATGCTGCTGTATACAGACTTTTCTGTTCCAGTTTAAACAGCTTTGACAGAGTACAGGTGCTTGGTGGCTTATAGGAATGACCCAACTTGCCAAAAATCCCTTCAACACCAGAGTTGACAAAGTTAAGATAAACATATAATCCCCAGCGATAAAACTTTGCAATAGTAAAATAACACTCAACCTGGAGGCGTCCCCAGCTTTCACAGGGAACAGCTGGCATTAAAGAGAGATGCCTGGTGGACGTCTTAGAGTTAAAGCTACAAACGGAGATTAGAGACTCTTATTTCTCAATGTGATCGAGCATGGGTTGTATTCCATTACACATCCTCATCTGTCTCCTAGAGTTTTAAGCTAAATGAAATAGATTGTTCTGTTTACACTTTTGAACCCTGGGCAACGTCAGCACTCGAGGGCTGTGACCGAGCTTGGAAGAACAGGGTGGGACGGCTCCATAAGCTCTCGGGCCCTGGATGGAGGCTACTTACTTCTCAGCCTAGTTTCCGGCATGTAGTCGGCTTTGTCGTGGACCCACTCAGGACGGTGAGGCCGGATGTTGGCCTGGGAGGCGGCATAAGCCACGGGGTCGTTGCTGACCCAAGCGGTCAGGTAGATGTAGAAAGCGCTGGGATTAATGATGCCGTCTGCATCCACCAGGCGCCGTTTAGTCAACTGCAAAATGGGAAGAACAGAGGCCTTTCAAAGGAGGTTTGGGGTAAACAAACTCCTGCTTAGGGACAGAAGAGGCAGAGCCCTGTACCAACACTTATAACAAAGACTAGAATGCCCACTGTTTGCAAGTGTAGAAAATCCCATCAGAATACCTTTGGTTTCTTTCAAAATACACTGATCAGAGGATGCAAAAATCGGAGTGTTTATAACACACACACAGTTCTGCAGATGGCTGGGGAATCGACTGAACCAATTAAATCTGAATGCTAAAAGACTGTCTGCAGCCAAGGCAGAGAATGAACAATCTGGAGAAACATATTTATAGGAGGGAAAGGGGGTGGGGGAAACCTGGCAAGAATCCCCATACACGTCTGTGTGCAGTTAACCTCTGCTGTTAACACTGAAGGAAATGCCACCCAGTAAATGGAGGAGAGCTATAAAAATAAAACAACATCTGTATAAATTTTGCTAACACTAGACTCCTATGACCTGTGTATTCAAAAAATGCCCATCGCCAGAAAGTGGAGGGGACTGGCGCACAGCCAGTCTTTCTGGGTAATCTTATTTCTGAGAGAGGTGGTCACAAGTAGGATGCCACATCCTATGCTGGCCAAATACTATGCTTCCTCTAAAAGGTCTTGTGGGCGCTGCTTAGGTGAAAAACACTGTGAGACACACAGACACACACGTATATTTTTTTCCTGTTTACTTTAGGTTCAGGCCTGGTTCCAATGCTTTTGGTCTTTTTTAACAAAATGAAAAACACCAGTGACAGCAGTTAACGGAGAAAGAGTGAAGGAAGAAAAGAGAATGGAGGAAAATGAGGGAACTAAATTTCAGAGATCTGGATTCAATTAATCCACAGGATATGTAACAACTGTATGTCTTCAAGCCGTCTCTGGAATTGCATACTACATCTCATGGCCTCCGTGCATGCAGCACCCTTTTCTCCCTCCCAGGGAGAGGAAATGATGGGGAGTGGGGGGAGACCGGCCCAGTCACTTCTGTCTCAGGCGTCCCTGGCCCCTGAAGCCCACTGCAGGCCCTGGGGCGTGCCCTGCTATCTCTCAGACAGGCTCCTCTGCCCACATCCTGGTCAAATAGGACGGCATGGCGCATGCGGCCGTAAAGAACCGAGTTCACACTCCATAATAACTCTGAACAATGTACTTTGTAAATCTGTCACCTTTAATGCCAGCAAAAAAGGGGAGACAATAAACAGAGCTGCTAGGAAGATCATTAGCATGACGGTTTTCTGCCTGAAGGTGAAGCAAGTAAGCTACAAAGAGCAGAGGGAACAGGATCTGGGAAAGCCAGTAGTAAGTAGTGTTGGACTCATTTGAAATCTGAAGGGTCTAAACACAGTCCCCAACACGCCTGAGGAATCAAAAGGGATATCCTGGAATCAGTGTCACAGTGAAGGCACAAATGCAGGAGGAGCACGATTACCAAATGGAAACAGCTCTTGTTACTAAGGGGCGTGTGCAGAACCACCCACGAGTCTACGCAGATTCCAACGATCTGCATTTCCGTTAAGTCTCATTCAAGACAGAGCAAGCTGTCTGTTCTCTCCTTCTCTACCCCAAGGGCCCGGGAGACCCAAAGGAATCAAATGCAACAAATGCTCTCATCCTTGATCACCTCTCTGATCTCCTAACCCATACATCCACCCCAAATTCTGCTCATTCAAATGACAGCTACCTAATGACTCCATCTTTTAAAATTTGAATACAACCAAGACCAAAGCAGTAGCAAATGTTAGAATTCAAACTTGAATTCAAAAAGAACACAATATAGTATCTCTAACACCGAAAAGAGCCTTGACTGTACTTTTTAACAATTGCTCCGAAAGTAGGTAACACACTTGCCCCCACCTGACAGATGAGCAAAGGGAGGCTGTCTGACTTGCCTGTGGGCACACAATTAAGCTGGTGGGATAAAGTGAATTAGAGCCTATTGAATGTTCTTCCAGCCCCCGATGGCTCAGGTCTGCAGAAAACAGAGGCTGGGATTGCAGGCTGTGAACCAGTTTTCAATATGGGAGCTGCCCCACAGCTTTCTCACCGGTGCTCTCTGACACCCCACCGTGTAGGGCAGTGAGCGTACCTGACTGATGTCGATGGGTTTATCGCGGCTGCCAGTCTGCACCAGGAGTTTATAGGCAAGGACCCCATCGTCTGATCCATTTTTGTAATTGTTTGGCATGATTTTCCCAGTTTCCCAGTCGCTGTCGAATGCATCCTGAAGTCCTAAAAAAGGCAAGTGTGCATAATACATTACAACACCTCACAGGAATGACCCTGGTCCTAACAAGGTGGCTGAGGACTGAGAACAGGACACAATGGTGTGGGACAGCAAACCAGGACATTCTGTGTTCTAACTGTATTCGACTTCAAGTTCAAGGGATGCTTAGATTTTTCATGGATAAACTTCAGGTTGCTAATAACCATTGCTTCAAAGGTGGAAAGGGGGGTGGAATATTTGTTTCTAGAAAATAAATATACACGTTTTATCTCAGGAAATACAATTTAAAAACCTTCCTTTTTCTCCATAACTATTCCCAAAAGAAGCAAGAGAGAGCACAAGAGAGCAGGCGGGCTGGGGGAGGAAGACACACCAGGCTCACTGTGTCATGCCACCATCAGGAGCTGAGCCACAGGCTCTTCAATACAACCAGAATTCTACTGGGAGGGGGAAGAACACATTCAAACTCCCCACTTCAAACAGCAACTCAGCTGCTTCGAGCCCAGGGTGGGTGAACACGATTCTGTCAATTTGTTCCATCTGTTCGACTTGTGGAGCTAATACAAGTTGTGGGATCGGCTGCCAGGTTGTGTAAAGATCACAGCCAACACCTATTCACTCTCAACTGTTCTCTTCCTCTTTGCCACCCTTCCTCAGAAGAGGGGGTGTGGGGGAGAGGGCAGGCAGGGAGCTTGTGCACGCGTGTGTGTGCAGGGAAATACCTCACAGGGTAAATTTGGATCAGATTGAGAACAGGAAGCCACAGGCCAATACAAGGGGGCTCTGTGAGAACAGATGACAAACCGCAAGCCCGAGGAGGGGAAGGAAAGAGCTTTCTGGGCTTGGGGGATGGGCGAGCCCACCAGCCCACCACACACAGCTGCGCTTGGCCTCTGTAATCAAAACCATCATTACAGACCTGACGGTTTGGCTACAGCTGTAAAGAGATAAGCATGTTGGAAGAGAAAACAGGGCCCTGGTGACCTGGCCTTGGGGTCTGAACCATCCCGGTGTGCACACACTCTCCTCTAACACTCCCACCTCCTTTCCATCACCCTGCTCCCCCCGCAAATCACCTCCCAAGTAGAGCTCACGAGCCCCAGTAGCTCAGGAAACCACATCTTTTGAACAAGCTGCACACGCATAGGTTAGACGTGGCCAGTAAGGAGAAGGGTTCATTTCATTCCACGGTATGCCTCGAGTGACTTCAAAGACACTCCCCCCGCAAAATGGGTTCCATTAGTGATCAAAATGGTTAAGCTTCCTGGGGTTTAAAGTGGTGTGTGATGGGGGGAGGGGTGAGGAGGTGGGGGAAAGCACGGGACCCTGCCTCTCTGTCTCTCTTTAAACTAAACCTTCCTTCCGACATTGCTGTGGGCATTGTTTTTATACGAACAATTTGGGGATGAGGACTGTGGGCTCGGTGGTGAAAGAAGGCCCTGTTAGGGGGTGAGCATGTAGGAGTGGCAGGCAGGGAGACCACCGGGATGGCGGGCTCCCAAAGCTCAGACTGTTTTTCATGGCAAGGCATGCACACAACAAGCTGTATTGAACAGATGTTATTTTATTACCTAAAGCCTTTTTGTTGTTGTTGTTTTTGAAAAAAATAAACAGGAGAGGAAAAACAACCCCACCCCCCTAAAAAAAGAGGCCTGGTCTGTTTTCCTCACCATTATAGAATTTTCATCACTTTGTGGCTTGCATGGCACTTTAACCCTTTCCCTCTTGACCTGTTAATGCTGAGGAGCAGCTCAGGCTTCATATGAGCACTGCGCTGCCTAAGCATTTTACGCAGCATTTTACGCTGAATACCCCTGTTTAATTCCTACAACAACCTTGTGAGATTGCCCTCTTAGTACTATCACTCCCACTCTACAGATGAGGAACTAAGGCTTGGGAAGATACAGTCACTTAATGAAGACTACAAGCAGGCAAGTGTTGGAGCTAAGCTTTGGGCCTGGGCACCCTGATTTGGAGTTGGCTTGAAACACTGATGCTATAAATTGCCCTGAACACACCAGGAAGGATTTGTTAAAGACATGAATAAGATTAGCAGAATTAATTCGGGCACTAACAATGTCTGGTGGCAAACACGGAATCTCAAAACTCGAGTGCAGTTTTATGATATTTATGCACTAAGAACTTTGGGATACCCTAGAGAGAAACAAAGGAAAAAAGATCCAATTTGGGGAAGTCCGCCCTGCTGACAATTCAGGTCAATTCGTCATCCCTGCTGCTGGACCCCATATGACATTTGCTCTACATGGACTACAAAGATGAAGGAGAAATAGCCACTGACTTTACAGGAAATTTAAGTTTTTATAATTAGTATATTATTTTCGGACTAATTACCAAAAGCTTAAGTTTCAATGGGTTGGCACACACAATATATGATTCTGGACACAAAACAGGGACAAGGGACAAGGATTTGCTTCCACTGTCCCCTGGCCAACATTTTATAATTTAATACATGCACACTTCTTTTATAGCAAAACATGAAAAGTTCTAGCTAGAACTTCTCTCATTTTAGATATTTAATACTAAAAATTATTTCCTGGTGAAAAGTTCTGAGCTAATAATCCCAATTGCCAAATTTTGTTTGATATGGGTCTCTAAAAAGAAAACATTAAATTTCATTTGCCTAAGTAGTATAAAATACAAACAAATACCATTTGTACATGATGATGCACAGTGTGGCTTTTATCTCCAACTCGACCTTATTTACATGTGTATTTAAAGATGAAAAGGGGGATAATTTCCATACTGCAATTTTATGAGTCCAACCTCCAACCCCCAAGCTATTAAAATGTTGATAAAGACCAGTGAGATGACATGGTTTTAAAAGGTAATTCCATTAAAAACCAACGAGAGTCCCATCTATCACTTAACAACCACAGAAAATGTTTTGAAGGAAAGCTGATTCAAGGATAACTGCTTCTTTGCAGGAAATGTTCAAGGACCAAATCAACCACTCCACAGGCCTGAAATACATCTCGGCAGCCAATGGTCCCAGTATCTGGCCATTCTGTGTACAGTGCTCTACTGGACCTCCTACGAGTCAGATGGTTCTAAGGCTGGCTGGGACCCTGACTTGGGAGCATTAAATGAATCTCATTTGGTCTAGGTAGGTGCTGTTCACTTAGCAATCAAAACACAATCTAAACGCACCTTTTTCTCAAGTCCAACGGCTTTAGGTCTTTCAAGGGATGAAAGCACAGGGATAATTTACAATATGCTATAAAAGGTTAGTGCTCTCTGTACTGCTTGGAGTCAGTAATCCTCAGTCCCCTTCCCAAGCTCCGCCTAACATGCCAAAGGGATGGCTGAAGACACTGACATCAACTCCACAATAACCCTCCTTTGCTCAGATGCTGGCAGTGCACTGCACATCTCTTTGTCATTTGTGGCAAGTTATTTGCATGTCTTTGGTCAATGAGGGGAAAAATAAAAAGCAGGGAATCTCTCAACTGTCTGGTCCCCTTTTGACTCATTCTCCAAAAAAACAAACAAACAAACAAACAAAAAAAACAACAAAACAAAAAACTGCTTCCCAAACTACAGGGAAAAATAAGACTTGGAACAAATTCAAGTTAATCTCCCGAGCATGTTAAAATATAATATTAATATCGTGTATGTACTTCTCTTCGATTTCCTCAAAAAAGAGGTCAAATCCGGTATACGTGTAATGAACAAAAGTCTAAGAACACAAGTCAAAGCCAGAAACTGCACTGAACAATTCTCGATCGAACTCAAGTTGTTTACCATTCATGCAAACTTACAGGGAAACTGGCTGCTTAATTCTTACATACAAGTGTATTGACTTAAGACCAAAAAAGGCACTTAAATTTGTGTTTAAACGAGTCTAATTAAGTGGGAAATTAAGACAATCATTTGGATAACTTAAGCCAAAAAATGTTGAGGCCATAATTATTTGGATATTTCAGTAACAGCATTTTTGCTTAAATTGTGTGGATAATTATCTTGATTCTCCACTTCACTTTGCATGTGTCAACAGAGAATAAATGAACAGATGTTATTGGAATCACTGAATACATTCATATTCAGTCAGCAGTCAGGAGCAAATTTAGGGTTTTTTTTTTTTTTTTTGTAGTTGATGTGGATAATTATCTTGATTCTCCACTTCACTTTGCATGTGTCAACAGAGAATAAATGAACAGATGTTATTGGAATCACTGAATACATTCATATTCAGTCAGCAGTCAGGAGCAAATTTAGGGTTTTTTTTTTTTTTTTTCTGCAGTTGACTACTATTTCCTAGAAATGTTTCTAAGAGCAAGATAAGAAGCTAAAAAAGGGCATTTAAAAGAAGAATTTAATTATTTATGAAATCCTGTGAGATATGATTAAGCATTTATAAGTTTATTTTATGGCATTTTGTGTCAAATAAAAAGATGGTTAAATATGGAATTTTAAATTATATTTACTAAAGACGCAAAATCTACTGGTATAGTAAGCTATACTTTGGCAGTGAGTCAGCCTAGAGATTCCATCAACACTATTTTTATTTGGTGACCAAATTAGCCACCATCCCGCCAAAAAAGAGCACTAGAAGTATCTAGCTCTATGTTTTATAACACACTTTCCCATTTCCTAATGTGCACTCATAAATTCTCACAGAAGTTCCTGAGTCACCCAACGAATTGTTTGCATTGTTTTATAGGTAAAAGCCAGTTTTGGGAGGCTGCCCCAGAAACAGCCTACAAAAGAATTTTAAGCAACACTTAGGAGTCAATGAAACATGTCAATGTTACATTATAATCTAACACTTTAATAAAGTGAACAAAAGGAACTTGTAGAAGCTGAATGCACCAAACCAAATGGTGTACGTTTACAAAGGACGAACGCCCTCTAGCAGCGTCTTACCTTGGAGCCAGTCTCTGAAGTAGTGCAGCCACATTTTGGGAAGCTGTTTATTTTCTTCCAACATGACATACTTCACATTACTGAAACTCTTGTGAAGGTCGTAAAGTAAGTGCTGGATATTCGGGTAGTCTGCTTTCTGGGTGACTATATACATGTTGTAGAAAGAAAAGTATTTAAACTGTGCAGCAATAAAGTCGTATTCTCTGGTTTCCCGAGGCACAATGTCGGTAAGGTCCAGCCCGTCGCGAACTCGGGTGGTCCCATAAAGGCTGACCCCCAGCAAGCCCAGGAAAAGGAAGATCACCATGACCTGCAACAGAATAAGAGGCACAAGGTCAGACCCCGAGGGACATAACTGATTCTCCCTTGACAAAGAGAAGCTGTTTGGTTTAAACACGCCTCACTTTTACCACCACTCTGGCCCTGACATAGCATGTAGGGGTTGTTCTCCCAGAAGGGAAAACATAAAATCATAGTAACCACATTTTTAAACAACCTCATGAAGAAGAAAATGTTTAAAATGCAAGGAGTTGATCTAAATTCAGAGAAACACTTGCTACATAGAGATTCATTCCTGTAGAAGATGAGCTCATTGAAATGGCCCCACGCTCAATGGACTAACTCCTTAGGAGATCTGAAATGTATCACACTTGACGAATTCCAAAGGCGCCTGCTCAGTTACCCAATGAAGACAGGAAGAGTATTCTGTTTGGGTAGATTACCTTGGCTTTTGGTTTCAAGAGGAAAGGAGCATAGTGTTTCTCGGCAAAAGATGAGAGTGTCCACTTGGTGCAAGGGGGCTCAAGGCAGTGCAGGCTGGAGTCGGAGAACTGGGAGAGCAGGTCCCTTGTGGAGCTAGTGCTCTCGGGGCTCTGGCAGCTGAGGGTGTCCTGTGTCAGGGTGACAGGCTGCACGGAGATCTCGGAGCGCGGCTCGGCGGTGGTGTAGTACACGTGTGTGTGGGGGTCGTACTCCGTGCGGAGCTGCACTGTGGACTGCATGGTGATCTGTGTCTCGTGGGCGAAGCTGTGGCTGCTGTAGGGGGGCGGGGGGCTGGAGCGGGTGCTATCGTGAGTCTCCGTGTAGGCCTGAGGTTCAACCTGAATCACTCTGCTGACGCAGGGGCTGAAAGAGGGGAAAATGTGTTGCAATGGCCTACTCAAATGGGGAAATGGTGTTTTTTCTTTTTTTTTCTTTCGGCAATGACTGATAATATCCATTTTACACAGCTCTGACGTAGGAGAGAAACGGCCTACCGTTGAACTCCACAAACATCACATGATTTCTCTATCTGGACATAGACACGAGTAAGTCAGAGGAGGCCAAAGGGAAGGCTGATCCTGAATTTGGCTTACAAAATTAAGGTACATGCTGATGAACATCATCAAAGCATAATTCCTTAAAAGGAAAAAAAAACAAAAAAAACACCCAAAGGGCTATATTTTTCCCTGATGGGTGGTTTTTAACTTTTGTTCTGCCCTAATCCATAGAGATATGACACATTCCCAACAATGAGTAATGGTTTATGAAAGAAAGAACGAACCATGGGTATCATAACCGCAGGGCTGTGAGAATGTTCGGTCAGGAGAGTGGATGACCCCAGTGATTCCGCTCTCTCTCCAACCCCCACCGTAAGGAAGCATCCTCTGTCCATTACTTTTCCTACCTCCATCATATTCTGTTAAGTGCATTTCCTTCCAAGTCCACAAACTAACGTTCTCTAAACACTACCACTCTGTACCCAACAAATGAGGGCCACTGCAGCCAGAAAATGTACCTTGTAAAACAGCAGAAAATATCCAATCTCCTGTCCTCACGTCGATACAAATCCATGCTGAGAATGGCAGGAAAAATGAGCAGAACCATAGCAAAATTGAACACCACTACGACAGCCGCCTGGGAGCAGAAAAAAAAAAAATGTAGAGGTTACCATTACATCTCCTCCCAGAGAATTCTTGGAAAATAAAGGTGTATTAAATATCCTTCTTTCACTTCCCTACTGAAGTACTTAAACTTGAAAGAGATGTTAAAGTTTTCTCATCACTTTGCTTCTCTTTCATCAGTAAGAGACCATCTGACTGGACTAGGCCCCCATCATTCTGCTTCTTTCCATTGCTAATAACTCCATGAACCTGTAAGGTACAATATACAGGAACTAAACTAGCATCTTGCTAGCAACTTAACCAAAGATGCCAAGGCAGGACAGAGAAGATATTTGAGATGTTTTAATTTAAATCAGAAAGGAACATTTCCCTCTCAGAACATTTCTAAGAGTTCATGCAGCCCTAATCTTACACTTAAGAAAATTATATGTAAAGTAGATCGAGTAGATCAAAATGTCACCTTTAAAACATGAAATAAAATTTCAAACACGTCCCTTGAGGTTTTTAATAGGCACATTCCAAATAGCCTCTGGAGCGGCCTGTGGGGTGTGTGAGCACAGTAACATAAAAGGTCAAGGAGAGTTAAGCGGAAAGAAATTCCTGTGTGTGATTATAGTATGCAGAATAAATAAGTACAGATTCAAAAGTCACTCCATAACCTAGAATAAACACGGGGTAGATTCTGTAGTGCTTTGGCAAATCTCCTGCTGACCTAGTAAAAATTACACAATTGGGCTGTTAACAGGGAAAGTGAGTAGAGGACAGTTGAAAGGCATGGAGAGAAGCAGCACAATAAAAAAATGCAAGTGGAATGCTAAGCAACCAGGAAATCATCACAAATTTTTTTTGAAAATTATAACCTCTCGTGAAGTTTTTCAAAGAACTGCTTAGTTCTAAAATGTTCACAAACTAGGGCACTTATCTCAGGGCGAGAGAAGAAAACTTGATTATAACTGACACCTAACAAAATCAGAGAACAACTTCACAAAGGGATTTGTATAGTAACTGAACTTATCCTCAAGGTGCAAACCCGAGTTCTGGAGAGATGACTTTCGATAATTAATTCCCTGTCAAGTCTAACAATGCCAAAAAATAACCAAGAGGTTCCTTCAAAATATAGCCTGACCCCTCTCTTCTTAAGAAGTCTGCCATGAAATTTCTCACCAATTCCAATATACGAATGTATTCACTTGCCACTCGGTACTTTAAAAACCTGCCCCATATGCTTACATTAATAAGCAAATTGCTATTTTGACTAGAAGATTTATCTAAGAGACAAATACTTTAAAAAGAAAAGCCAGGGCACTGTGCTGGTTATTGGAGATACAATGATAAAATAAGACAAAATCTTGCTCTCAAAGACTGACATAGCCACATCTAATAAACAAATTACATTTCAGGCTGATAAATGTAATAAAAGCAAGCACAGTGTTACACAGTGGCTCACAAAAGGGAGAGAGCATGCATGCGGGGGTACATGTAGGGTGGATGGGGGTTGAGGAGCATGGTCAAGGAGGATCTCTCAGGGAGATGTACAAAAAAGACTCTGGCAGGACAGGAGAGGAAGGATGTGCCATGTGGAGAGAATCTGAAAGGCAGTGTCACCTGGCACAAGCCATTCAGCAATGCTGGGTTTACTCTGAGAAAAGAAAGGAGAAAAGAGGAGCCATAGGAGATCAGGTAGTTATACGTGATTTACTCGATTCTTACAGCAACCAGGAGGCAGATACTAGCATTGCTTTTGATGCTATCACCTAATAAAGACCTGATGAAGCAGAGGAAGGCCACCTGCTGGAGGTTACCCATACATCAGACTCAGACAGCAGGCTTGATGCCTAAGCTCTCAGTCCAACTGAGACCTGTTAAATCTGCGCACCCCCGGATGGGAGGGCCACCGGCGGGGTTAAGACTCCTGATCAAGCAAACAGTAGGGATGTTGGGAAGAATGGGTCTGATTCTCAAGGATTTTCCAGGAAAACTTAATCCTATGGGTGGAATCTTTTCGGCTTTTCTCATTACTACAGTCACATTTAGAATTCAGGAGTGCAATGCAGACAAGAAACTCTGAGTATCTCTGTTTGAACAAAAGTTCCTAAGGACGATGGCAGAGACTGTGAAAAGACAAGCCACACATGTGCACACACACGGCCCAGAATGACATTGATACTTTCCATAGGGGCGGGGGCAAGTATCTGATACAGACCTCATTCAACAATGAAGTCTGAAGGGCTCTGTCTCTTGGTGGAAATGGAGCAATGAGAGAAGAAACCCAAAGCAGTACCCCATCTAAACTCACTGTCAAATGCCTTATTATATGCACATGGAGAATGAAAATAACAGAACCCCAATATCCCCTAAAATGCACCAAAACAGTAAAAACAAACAAAAAGGAATTTTCAATAAAGAAGTGTCACCACTAGAACAAACAGGAGTTTAAGAAATTGTAAGTAAATCTGAAAAGATGTTGGGGAGGATCATGAGCTGTCAATCAACTCTAATTGCTGTGCTTAAAGGAAATGTCCCATTCCCTGCAAAGCATCTATGGTGGCCCCACTGAGACACTTGCAGAGCACCGAGACAAGCTGGCCTTGCCTAGGGGGGCCCTCATCTAAACCCTCTGACCACTTGGAACAATAAGGCATTCTGTTCCTGGAGTTCCATTGAAGAACAAACACCATTCAGTTACCAGCAGAGCCCCAGTGTAGGGCACCGGTTCCCAAAGAATTACAGCCGGTGCCACTGCTTTCTGGGATACAGGTGGCATTTGGATAGATGGATAGAGACTGACAAGGAGCTGTGAGGCAGTTTCTTTGGGGAAAAAAATTCTATATATTTTAGTTAGGCTACAAAATTGGAAAAGTTCAACAGGGAAAATTCCTAAGTTAACAGAGGTTTACTATTGGATAGAGCCACTTTAGGTCTCTGCATTTTGATGCTTAATCTGTACTATCCTGACTAAAGAAACACAAATGAATACAAAGAGTCACAACTTAACACAATTCATTAAAGGAAAAGAGAAGTTACATAACGGTCAATTTCAAATGTCAATACATTTAAAAGGGAATCAGTGTCAAAATTTCTGATGACTACTGCAAAACTCATGGAACATTCTTTTTTTTCCTTATGGTTTCTTCTTTTCCGGGCAGTAGGGGGGAAAGGGTATGTGTTTGTTTGTTTGACAGAGAATAAGCCAGTGTCATGAGAAGCCCCATTCTTTAATAAACGAGGACTCCTGGAAGCTGTAGATGCAGTTTTCAAAAGTGATACTCCAGAGCCTTGGAACAGAAATGCAAAACCCACAGTACTCATTTCATCTCAGTGCTTACCTTGGAAGAACTTAGCGTACTGGATTTTCTAAAAGACGTAAGGAAAACTCATGTAGCGTTTCAGACCACCACACCATAGGATATCATTAAAGGAGACTATGCCTTGATGAATCATCAGTGTGTACTGAGAGAGGACGAGAGAAAATGAGAGAGAACAAGAAGAAAAGAAGGAGTGTGAGGCAGAGCAGATAAAGAACAGTGAAGGAAAAGGCGAGCAGGAAGGAGAGAGGCGGGAGGACAGGGTCCCACTGCTAAAAGACTCTAGAACAATTCCAGAATCTGCTGCATATGAAACAAGAACAGGATATCAAAGGGAGCTGCGCAGATGCATGCCTGTGAAAAAAGGCATTCTACAGCTTCAGTGGTACCAATAATTCAGCAAGCATCTTTTACTTATCTTCCATGTTAGTAAGCAATTAGATATATTTTCATTTTCCTGAGCCTCTGTCCATTTCAGATGTAACATTATCAATTTATTCACTTACTATTTCTATTTATAGTATTACATGTATTTATAATAAACTTTTTTTATTTTTTAAAGTATTTTTTCTTTTGGAAGCTGGTAGCCATAGTGATTGGTACAAAACCTCTTTTCATGTTACATCTAACACTTAATATTAAATAAGGCTAGTGTCCCAACACAGTAGGCTCATTAGTTGATTAGGTCTTTATCAGTAATGAGTGAAATGCAATTCAAATATGAAGATTAAAAAAGAGCTAAACATGTTGACAAAAATATAAACAGAAACTTAATTTATGATTTGGCGGTTTCTCTTCCTGGTCACAATCCTTAGAACCTTTCAGTGATTAAAGAGAATAAAGCACTATGAATAAGCTGGGTGTAGTAACAATTTTCAAAGTGACATCGAAAGTAGTTTCCTTTAAAAACCTGACCGTCTTATAAATTACAATCATACTGTAAAACAAAAAAAAAAAAAATAAAGGAAAAGCCGCTGCTCCTTTAATCTTTCTTGGAAACTAGTGGAAGCTTTACAATTTGAATTTAATTCACAAAATTTCAATAATATCCTTGAGATATCAAAACCCTAAAACCACTTCGGGCTTCGGAAGACCAAAAAGTGGTCAAGTCGCTGTCCTTATCTGCTGAACTGATGAACGTCAGGATTCCTGTGAGTTTCCAACAGCTGCAGAGCAATGCCAAGTTCTGCAGACCGAGCACCAACAGACCACAGCTGCAGCCCCAGTCTAGAAAACTCTCCATCCTTCAATGTACGTAAGCTGGCTCTTTGTTTAAAAAAATATCTTGATGGCCTCTAAGTGTGAAAGGGCCTCGTTTGGAAAGAGAGAGTAGTACAATGTGGGAGCCAAATTGCTCTGCATAAAGAATGAAAAGGAATTTTGAGTTTTCTTGGGCAGCCTGGGAGGGGAGTTAGGGACCAAAAGAAAAGAGAAGAGGGGACAAGAGTCTGTGGAAGCTAACTAAGGAAAGGAGGTGGCAAGGCCCCTCAATGAACCCTCTTGCAGGCAGAGAACAGCCAACACATTCTCACACAGTGGTGTCTAATGCTCAGTTTTAAGTTGTCACCTAGCCTGAGCTAATGCAACCTCCTCTTCATTGTCAATGAAGTCTGCTCTATATAGCTGCTTTGTGTTAGGGCTGCTTCAAGGAAATCAGGAGAGAAGTTGGCATGCTTGGGAAGTAAGCACAGAAACTAATATAGTGGTTTAGAGGTAGAAACGGCCAGGAAGTGTGCTGTACCGTGCATGAATCCAGAGGACTCCTGCCTATCTGGAGTAGGGGCCTACTGGTATCCCACATGGAGCAGCCCTGGTACCATTTTAGTTTAACTAAAAGGAAAGGGCAACTTCCTAAGGCAGGGGTCCCCAACCCCTGAGCCGCAGACTGGTGCAGATTGGTACCGCTCAGTGGCCTGTTAGGAGGAACCTGGCTGCACAGCAGGTGAGTGGCTGGTGCGTGAGCAAAGCTTTGTATGTATTTGCAGCCACTCCTCAGTGCTAGCATCACCGCCTCAGATCATTAGGCATTAGATTCTCAAAGGAGCACTAGTCCCTGGTGCCAAAAAGGTTGGGGGCCATTGCCCTAAGGGACCATACCTTGAGGATACCCAGACCAAGGGACCATAGCTTGAGGATACCCAGAACATGGGCATTTTAGGAAGGAAAGTATCCTAAAATTTTTTTTTAGAGGGAATGTCAGATTTATCGTTTAAAGAAACATCTGGCCATAAAGAGAGTCCAAAATGCTGGCATGTTACTTCACTTCATGGCAATGGTGGAGATGCTCAGTGTCACTGCAGTGTTCACACAGATTTAATCACTGTAAACTCACCTGGAGGGAAAAGGCCCGCAGAGCGGGAATCGGGATCAACGCGGCCATAAAGAAGGCTGTGACGTTGCTGATGGATGTGAGGGCCACGCTGGCTCCTGTGCGCTTGAGGCACTCCCCGGTCCTGTCCTGAGGACAAGAAACCACAGTGCTGAGAGCTGCACAGGGAAGGGTTTCCTCAGAGCACAGACTATGAACAATTTAAATCTCAGCAAAATAAGACAACTGATAGTCTAAAGCACTGACATTAGGGAATATGAAAGGGATATATATCTCTGCCTTTCTCCCTAACACCGGCACTGAAAATGTTTTCAGTACTGTCTACACAGTCACATGTTGTTTGTAGTTATTACTATCCAAAACACAAACTGCAAGATAATGATTTAAGTAAATTTTTAATATGATTTAAAAGGAGGTGGGCACCAAGTGATAAAAAAAACCCTAGAGAAACAAAAGTGTAGTTTGGAATATATTTCCTGAGCTTCTTCTAACTTAGTTCACTCATTTACAGCCAGTAACCCGTCGTCTGACTTGGGATGAAACTACTTTGAGGCCAGATTGAGAAAAATGAAAAGACAAATATTTAAGAACAGAGGGGACTTAGGCTGTCCCCAAACCTTTTTTCTTTTGTTTTTTTCTATTACCTCAAAAGGGATCCTTTTATTCTGTCCTGTTTCACTAAATGCATGTGCCAGAAGGAAAACATCATCCACACCAACACCAAGAGCAAGAAATGGCAAAACCTAAAGTGACAACAAAGGACAGTAGATTAGACATGTGAGGTCTAATTCTGATCATTCTAAAGCTATTTAAAGCATTGCCACCAGTGTCCCCAGTGGCTACCCAAGGACAGCTTACATTAATTCATGGTGAAAAATCAAGTTTTTTATCTGACAGTTAAATCCCTAAAGTCTAGCAGTTTTAGCTCGCAGTAGATATTGTACATTTCTATTTCTAAGCCTCACATACAAATTTTTTTTAAGCTAGTAAATGAGAAGAAATATAACTCACATAAAGCAGTGATTCTCAGAGCATGATCAGCATCATTGGGAATTGGTTAGAAATGCAAATTTTCCAACCCCATCCCAGGCCAAATGAATTAGAATCTCTGGGGGTGGGGCCCAGCAATCTGAGTTTTCATAAGCCCTCCAGGTGATTCTAACTAACACACACTAAAGTTCGAGAACCATTGCTTTAATAAATCATCTAAATTCCACTGATAAGTGAAGCAACAAGCACATTCAGATCTTCTGCCCACGGCCAACCGGGAGCAGTCCATTTAGAGGCACAACTCCCTTGAGAAATGTGGCATCCTAGTGGAAAAGGCTGGAAGACCCTTTAGGTGACACGGACACACAGGAGGCCATGTAGGAGGCCAGAGCCCGGGGAGGAGTATTGGTCAACAAAGCAGATGGATGGCTCCTTTAGTACCTGAGTTGTTGCAGCGTTAAAGGAAATCCCGATCAATGAGCACAGGCCCAATCCTGCAGCCACTGACAGTGCAACCAACAGGACGCCAGCCAGCCCCACGGCACCCTGGGACTTGGAGCAGTCCCAGCGCAGCATGGTTAAACAGGCATAGGCAAGCTGCAAGCAGAACCATTGGGGTGGGGGTGGGGGTGGGGGTGGGGAGGAGATAAAGGGGAATGGGAGGAGGGGAGAGAAGGGGGAGGGGGAAGACACAAAACAAAAGCCAAACATTAGAATGTGTAAGGATTCTAATGTTTTCCCCCACCCGTCACCCCATATCAAAACGTAGAACTTATGAAATCCAACAACAAAAATTTACATTACAGACATCACATGAAATGATACAAGTCAAAGACGGGCAAACTGCAAATGAGAAAAAATGCTTTACACGACCACTTTTCAAACTGTTATGAAGGGAGGAGCTCTCTCTTAGATGCACATGTGTGTTAAGAGCAGTTAAAAAGCAGGAGCCGTCATGGAAAGGTAAAAACCAAAAACCAAAATAAACCCAAACCCCTAGGAGAACTGAACTGATTTTTACCATCAGTAAGTAGCCACTGGCCACTCGGATGACACTGACATCTGAGAAGGATTTGAGGATGTCGTCCAGGGTCGTCGTGGTAAAGGAAAGCACCTTCTGAGTGGAATTCTGGGCGACGCTTTGATGAACCACCTGTGGCCACAACATGAAAATGAGTCCCAAATGGAATTAAAGCTTCAATGAGCTTCAACGGCACATGTCTCCTCCACTTACCCACCATTTCTTTTTCTGATTCATTATAAAGAGTTCTACATGATTCAAGTTTGAACTTGGATGCACATTAAATGACCCTGGGCCTGGGACAGTGAAGGTGACCACTAATCAAGTAAGAATGTGGTGCTGAGGTGAGCTGGTGTCACTGAAGTTCACTGCCAGTGCTTTATTTACTTTATGTAGAAGACTGCTATTCCCCTCACCATCACTCTACAACTGATTTTCAGTCCCATCAGTTGCCCGTAATCCAAAACAACTCATTCTTACGGGCACTCCTCCCCCCTTCATTTGCTGGCCACTTTTAAAAGGTCGTATGCAGCTCCGTAGAGGTCACTGCTTGGGAAACAAAGGCCAGCTCCTGTCACATGACCTAACCAAGGGGACTGCAGCTGTGAACAGATTCTATGCCTTGCTAATGTTTTCCAGACACCTTTTCTTGCTGAGCGTTTTTAAAAACACTGTTATGCCTTAGTTCTGGAGTTCAGAACTGGTTACTCAAAATGTTCCAGGGCACCCCAATCAGAATTAGCTTCACCCAGATATTAAGATTTTCAATATCAAAGAAAGGGAAAAAAGTTTTCATCCCACTAAGTTCCCAGAATTACAAACTGTTTTGAAAATAAATTTTAATTTAAACAAGTTTTAAAGTGTCATGCAAATGAAATATTTATTCACTAATCCTGTACCCAGGTTCAAATGTGGGCATCAGAACGCTGGCGATTTACCTCCACGTATGTTCTCTGCCAAGCCTCTAGGATGGCTGCTGCCTTATCCTCGTTCCAGTTGATATGCGAAACATACTCATACCCCTTGAAGTGTTCGTACATCTGCTTGGGAGTCATTAACTGAAACATGGTCTGCAAGGCATGGGCACTGCAGCGGGAGAGAAGGCATAGATTAGCACCCCCAGGAAGCAGCTCTCACTGTGTAAAATCCCCAAGAGCACCCCCAACTCACCTGCAGTCATTCTATCCTTCCACATGAGCACATGTTTCCATTAAAATGGGACCTGAATGGTTATTTTATGTAACAGATTGATGTACCATATTAAAGGTGTAACCTTACAAACCTTTTACAGATAGACCCCAAAATTAAATTAATAAGCAATTTCCTTTCTCAGTTTCTATTCAGTGAAACAGGAAGAGTAGAGGAGTAGATAGCTTGACCAGATATGCTGGCTCACCCCTGCACACTCACTTGTGCAGAAATCCCAGACGATGACTCTCTCATGGGAGAAACCTCAGACAGTGTGCCTGACACTTGCCGGAGCAGAGTCCACAAGTGCACAGAGGATAATCTTTGGTTAGCTGTCATTTGTTGGTCTTTTCTTTTACAGGCTATGATGAAGTTTAGCTCATATCATTTAACTCTATATGCTATGACCAGCGTCTCTTGCCTGTTTTACACTTGCCCTGACTTTCTACATAATGGGCAGATCTAAAAAACCCTATGGTCATTAACTATAGTCTGGATGACAATGACAAATCTGCTCTCAAAAAATTACCCACAAGGTGCCTTTTGAGCTGGTCTGGTTTGCTAACATTTCTTAATATTCTATTACAGCGGACGGCTAGCGAGGATAACATTTAAGTATTAATACAAATACACCTGCATATGTCAGAAGGGAAGTGGGTTCTCAGAACAGGATAAAAATGAGATGGCTTAGATTTTCCTCTATGTGTTAGATTACCTGACAAGCTTCCCAGTGCTGTTCTTGACCGTGCCACCCACAATCAGCTCCTCCTGCCAGTGCATATACTTCCTGGATAACCCATGACATCCGCCATTCAAAACAAGGGCCATATCAAGAGGCTAAAATAGAAAGACAGCCACATAATTACGAGAATTAGCAGGCAGGTCACATGCCTTGTTAAAATCCAGTGCATTCAGGGCTTGTTTGTTTCAGAGAGAGCATTAAAAACAAGGCTAATGAGAGGCGTATGGCAAATCTTACAGCAAAATTTCACTCTATAAACAAACTTAGTTCCATAAAAAAGTCACTGAGAATGAAATCTTACAAATGAAAATAATAAAACAAAAAATGAGGGGAAACATCACATTTTTCTCTCTGCCCATCTGGAGAAGAATGTACTCACTTTGGTTGCATTTTTGTTGGGGGCTGTGGCGGGGCAGTCTGGATCAGCCGGATTGAGGCAGGGCCGGTCCATGTAACCATGACCAACTTCTGCCTTATTCAGCATTTCCTCCCAGCTGTCCACTTGATAGTTTATTTTCTTTAACTCTTCTAGGAATTCCAAAGGGTCAAAGTTTGTCCACTGCAAAGGAGGCTTACCTCTGTGAAAGAAATTAGGAGGCAAGACAATGAAAAGAGGCTTCTAAACCCTTAGTGAAATAACAAGACTACATGTATTGCATATACTGCATCCGATTACACGAGGCTTTTTAGTAATGCTGCCATTCTAGGACCCTGGCATAAAAAATGCTCCTTTCAAGTCAGGAAAATAACTCATGAATGAAGATGGCAGGCAGAGAACTGATAAATGAACGAAGGCACAAAGAATCTTTACTTGCTGATATATCGTTTTTAATACCTAAAAACAAAATTAGTTAGTGGCTGGTAAGCAGAAGACTGAGATTCAAAATTAAGACCAAAAAAGGGGGGTGAGGGTGCACAATGTCAAATTAGCACTTGCCAGCCTAATAAATGCTTTGTCTATGTCGTCAATCAAAATATTTGATCTCCATTACCTGCAATAATCCCATACTTATGAGCTCTCCCTGACAGCCTGGCAGTCAACCCCGTAAGCCCCCTGCTGCCTCTGCCATCACCGCCATCAAGGCCACTTCCCCCCACACTCACTTTTGAATTTGTGCTGTTGACAGACCAGAAAGGCTTTTGGCTGCCTGTTATGTGGTTCAAACCACACTGTAGCTGCTTAACCAGGCTGAAGTCATTATTCAGAATCTCCCAACCAGAAAACACAAAACCCCTTATTTCCCATCTAAAACTGTACACTGAAGGTCAGGGTATGGCCACTGCAAATTGCTTTTGCAGATATGTGCAAGCTAGGACAGAAACAATAACCCAAGCACTAACTCTTGCATAATTAACTGAAAATGTCGACACTGATTAACAATTATTCTTTAAATGGTTCGGTGTATATAATATCCAACTGCTAAACTGTGAAGCATCCTCTACCAGGGGCCTTCAGATAGCAGATTTCCCCCTTAAATGTCATTAATGTGATCCAAAGGAAAGTTAGCATTTTACTTTGCAGGAAGATCTTGAATTTTAACTCAAAATGTTTAGTTCTGACATGTACTCACTAATAAGTTCTCTCCTTAAAAGATAAGTTAAACCTACTTGAGTGCCTAATCTGCAAAACTGCAAACATTTTTAAGAGCTAAAAAAATCACACATTCACCAAAATCATTTGCATTTTATTTGCATATAAATAGGCTGGTAAAGTGAATGAAATTTAATGATGCCTACAGAACTTTTTTTGAAGAGAAAAAATATTCTGAAGTCCTATCTCTTCCAACTATTCATTCAAAGAATACACATGTAATTTCAACGTTTTTATTTCTTGTTTAAAACTGAAATAAACAATGATAAAGTAACATGAGAAACATTCTAGAGCCTAGAAATCACAGACAACAGAAAATAAGATGATACACTTACAGTAGGTATGCTGTCCCCGATTGTAACTTGGCCCCTTCCCAAAAGCAGTCCAAAGGTGTAATGATTAAACAAGGGTAAAGATATTCTATTATCTGTCAAAGTTAACAAGAAGAGGCTATGCATTAGGCTAACACACACCACTAGGATGGTTTCAGAATTCCTGAGAATTTTTTTTGCGAACAAAAAGAAAACATACCTGATCCATGTAACCTGTTTCTGTGATAAGTTCTCCAGATTTGTAACACAAATGTTCTAATTTCCACTGCCTATTAAATAGCAGAGACAAAAATTTCTCATTGTAATAAAGTGTGGAAATCAGCACAAAATCAGAACTATAGAACATACAAAGAATGGCAATTTTGATCACTTTTAAGTATCTGTCAAAACGAGCAGAGCTTTTGCCAAGTAGAGACCCAACAAGCTTGCTTTAATGAATAGATAATACTCAATTGTAATTAACATGTGGGGCGTTTATGTAAATGATGCTATCAAAGTACTAGAGAAGTCTTGTTCTCTTAAGTGTTCTCCCAATAATCTTGTTTACACCATTAATCTGCTTTTCACATACATTAAACAACTTCAGGGCAGATAACTCAGAGCTGAATTGTCACAAATTCAAAATAAGTGGGGACTAAATCAGTAAGGATTATAACGTATTAACATATATTCAGGTGCGGAAATATTACTGACTTTTTTTTTTACTGGCAGATAATGGCCTTATTAACAGAAAGTGTTCAAAATGAACTTTCCTGCTCTTAACTCTGGAAGCTACAAAGCATTGCCAGGTAGATCAATTTTCCACTTTATAGCCTTCTTGTCCTATCAAAATGATATTAAATATAATGATCAATAATTACCTCTTTTATCTATCATCTACATATTATTATAGCATTCTGTTACCCCTAGAAGAGCGCTATATAAAACCCATGCCTTTAGGGAGATAAGTCTAATTCAAAAAAAGGAAATTTGGAGACAGTGGGGATGGGAAATCCAAAAGAAGAAGAAGGAAAAAAAATCCTTCCAAACTGCTCTTCTGGTCACCCTAAGAAGCACTCTGGACTTTGTCCTCTTTCCTGTGCACCTGCCCACCCATCCCTTAGCTCTGTGCTAAAACGGCATCTTTCTGCTAAGCTTTCTTTGGCCAGTACAATTAAATGACTCCTTTCTCTTGAAAATTTTGGAGCACTAAGTTGGTCAGATCTCCTGCATGACACCTGGAGCACCTGCAATGGGGACTGCCTGTGTTTGGCTTTGTACCTGCTTATCTGTATTGAGATCTTTCTTCTTCTCCCTAACCAGACTGTTGGCTCCTAAGAGTAGGACCCAAGATATCCATCCATCATCCATCTACCCACCCACCCCTCTATATCTTTATATTTTAATTCTACATAGCGTCAACAGAGGCTATCTAGCATGAGTAGGTTTCTAACTTAATATCACTTGATCAATTAATTCTTAATTCCCCCTTCTTGAGAAGGGCATGGCTGTGCATAAGGAAAAAACAAAAAAACAAAATGCCCAACACTGCCTAATTGTATCAATCTAATTCTCCATTTTCTCACTTGAAATATTAGATGGGTTGAACTAGGTGTTCTTTAAAGTTCATTTCAATGCATAAAAGTTCTCTGGTTCCATCTCAGCTTAAGAGTGTAATTTCATAGTACAGATGTGCACATTTTCTCCTTAGGTGTGTAAGTGACAAGCCCCCTCACAGTAGGTTCCCATTATATTAAGAATGCATCCAACATGCTCACAGTGGCCCTGTGACACCCATTTCCCACTTGCAAACTTCGCAAAACTGCACTGGGTGGTTGCTTCCCCAACAGTGCTCCTGACAGACTGGGAAGGCTATGTTGGTAAGAGCCAGGATGTGCTGTGCTCTCCAGCCAAATCTGCCTGACAAAAGTGCTAAAATACCTCCTTACATTTCTGAGAGCCCTTTCATATACACATATATCTGCCTCTGTTCTGGGAAACTCCTGAAGGTCATGGAGCAAACATGATTATGGCTTAGTTTACGGATGAAGAAACAAGAGTATGCCAAAGATATGTGACTTGGTCCCAGGTCATGCTGGGCCCTAGGATCCTGTCCTCCAGCCAGATCCAGTTAAGACCACAAGAAGTGGTGGTTACAGCAGAGATATGCACAGATTTTCATTTTATTTTCTCCCTCATTCTCCCTGGCCACTGACTATGTGTCTACATTGCTACTTTACTCTGTCTGTGGAAAATAAATCGTAATGGCCAACCACTCAGTTAAGAGGTGGTGAAAGCCTACTGGGGTGGGCTGGACTTATATAAATGTCAACTCAGTGGTTCCCTGGAAATGGGAGTTAGTGATAGTCATTTTGACAGTTCAGGGAGGAGGTCCAGTTGAAATTCATCAATTCAGGTAGTCAGGCAATCAACGAACTCCAAGTGTCTGCCCTGATCTAAATGCTGTATAAAAATGAACAAGATGTAGTCCCTGCCCTAAATAACTCACAGTTCAGATAGATAAGAAAAAGTGCTGTTAGTTTTGTTACACAACTCTTCCTATGCTGTTACTATACCTACAGGGTTATTACATTAGCCATGAAGCTAACTGGTAATATTTTGTAAAGTTGTATATGTGTCTACCTTATTCCACCTGTCAGTAGCAATTCACCATAGTGGCTCAAGCCCCTATTTGCTTTGTGACACATACCAACAACTATCAATATCTTCAGTGAATACAAAGTAAGAAGTAACTTCTTTTTCTTTTCTAGTCTTTACTTATTCCTTATAAGTTGACCACAGGCAATTCAAAATCTAACTGTCCTAAAAACATATATAGCCACCCAAATGGCTCCTTGAAGGATCATACTCATTTGGGTATAGCGGCAGGACACTAACCGAAAATACATTATAAAGTACTGTATTTGGTTGGTTACCAAACTCTGGAAACAAATCAAGATTTTAGAAAAATCATTTCATTAAAAAATGATATAAATGAACACCCCAGGCATATTTCCAGGGCAACCTTATTTACTAAAACAAAGGGGCCTATGCCAGCAGCCCCTTCCTACCACCTTACCTGTTATACATATAAACGTGGACCCGGCTGGCCTGGAGTGCCGAGTCCAGATGTTGGCGGAGCGCTTCTGTGGTCAGGACATTAGCACCTTCTTCTTTCGGGGTCTGAATCATGAGTTGAGGATTAAACATAGCCTCTTCTCCAATCTTCTGGCGAGTATAATTTAATTCGCGACTCACTCGTCCACCAACTGACAAACGTAAAGGTTTCAATTAGAACAGCAAACCCCCCACAAATTCATGTTCCATCTGTTATCTCACTAAGAAGCACAGGATACATGATAAATACACTCTGGCCATGAAAATACATGACTGATGTTTGAGGAATAACATTTGTGTTATTGTTATCGACAATGTTAACTTTACCAATAATAAACACAAAAAAATACTCACTAAATCCATTAACAACTGTCCTGCCTGTTACATGCACCAATCTAATGCGTACGTGCTTTGTGCACCTTCTAACTAATGCACTGTATGTACAAAGGGAGAAGGTGGCAGGAAAACTTGAGACACCTTTTCCTTGCAGACCAGACCAAATACCTCTGCTGCAATTTCTTTCACTTGTATAAACAACGCTCCCCTGCAGCACATTTCAGGATAAATGGCTTCAATTTATACTCTTCTAAAGAATCTAAGCAAAGGTAACAAGGAAATGTTTCTCCTTGTGGAAAAAGAAACAAGTAAAGGTGACAAATGTGTATTCGGCACAAAACTTGCCAGGAGAAGATGAAGAGGATTCACAGATGCACGCAGGGAAATCCTACTGGAGAGGAACCAAATGTGTCAGGAGTGGCTGTCATGGGCCGGCCCTGGAACCTGGTTCCAGCAGACTTACCTGGTCAGCACTCAGAAAACATAGATGCCAGGTTCTAAGCCACCTGGAGGCCAGCAGCCTGTGTTCCAGGAGCTCCCCAGATGATTCTGAACCTGCTAATGAGGCCAGTACTGGCCTCAGCACCAACTTGGCCCTCCAATAGGCTGGCCAAAGTTGGGCATGCTAGGAGCCAGTGCAAGGAGGCACTTGAGGTACTTGTGACGTTGTTGCTGCAAACTGCTTTTTTGTCTTCTTCCTCAGGTCCTAGGTTGTATTTCAATTATGGTTTTAGAACAGTCCAAGCTCAGAATGCTGAACCTGGCTGGGAGGTATGGTGGGAAGGAAGGGGAGGGGTGGGGAGTAGAGTGGTGAGGTCAAGCCCTGAAGGGTGTTTTGATCTCATTCAGTCAAGAATAAGGGGCTGGAAGAGAAGGGGCTGGGAGGAGCAACAGAGAATCCTAGAGCCCCCTCCCCACACACAACTCCAAGGCCTACAAGTGAGTCTGAATAGTTCCTGAAGGCATTGATAGTGAATGTTTTCTGAGAAGCAGACTTTACGCTATCATTTAGAAAGAGCCTTCAGTGATCATTGCAGCTTTCCCATGAGGAGGAATCCTTTTCCATCAAGTTTAGTATGCAAGGACGTAAACATTTGGTTTGGGCAAGTAAATAAGTACTGGGAACGGCGGGTTGTTTAGTTCTCTTGGCATATTTTATAAACAAGGGGGCAGGCTAGAAAGCAAATAATGCCCTCATTAGGAAAACTAGTCCAGATTCACAGACTGGCAAGATCATCTGTGCAGATTCACGCAGATGGCCCAGGCCACCTCGGAACTTTATGAGATGAGGTTGAACAGACTGTGTGGGTGTCAGAGAGAAGCAGAGAGGGAAAGGGGAGGGGGAGTAAAGGAGTTGGGGAAAAGTGGGAAAATTATCAGTTGGTTACATAAAGTATTAAGAGCCCTCCAACAGAAAACTTTGACAAATGCCTTGGGGAATTAGGGAGGACTTTGTAATCAATTTGAAGTATGAGAAAGACCACAGGAAAACATAGGAAACAACTGGCAAAGGAGAATGAATTTACAAAATGCTCCTCTAAAACTGCCTGCAGGTAGGGTCTGACTCCTTTTGGCAGAAATCACAATACATTACTTCAACCAATTAACAAGTGAGCTGAATCACACTCAATCTACCTTCTCTAGAGACAGAAAAGCTGTTCGAGGCTAAAAAGCCAATTATTAGCCCGAGGTCACTTCTGAAAAGCTACAGAGCTGCATACCAATAAAGCTCCAAATAGCCTTTTTCAAAACAAAAGCTCAAATTAAAAAAAAAAAAAAAAGAAAAGAAAAAAAAGGCTAGAATTCTTCCTCTTTTTTTTTTTCCTGGCTATATGACATAAATGCCCCACACCTATAAATCATTTATATTTCCACTTGCCTCCTCAAGCATTGGCTAGCACAAGATTTCTCATTCTGCTTAGAAAAGTTGCACTTCCCTTTTACCTTTATTGAAGCTTAAAACTTCAGGTGAATTACAACAAGGTAAAAACAACAGAACAGGACCACAGACTCCCCCTGACTCCCCAGCTGCTGCCACCTTAGCAGAGCAGCTGCCTGTAACTATAACCACTATGATAATGAGCCAAAGGAGGAGAGTACACAAGAAAAATGAGATGCAAGCTTCCTGCAGCTGAGAACTTTGACTATACTCTTTGACACCAACCTCATAATAGATCAATTATTTTATCACAGGGGTTTTCAGAAATTATGCTACTTCCTACGAGATATAAAATGTACCTCAGAGGCTCCATAATGTCACCTTTTTAGATGTATATTTAAGTAAACCCACATATTTTAATGAAAGTGTGGATTTTCAGATCTCTGGAATTGAAAACACTTATGCTTTTCCATCTCTTTGTTCTAGTGATAAATATGAACATTTTGCTAATGTGACCAGATTCAACCAAGACAAGACTATCATAGGTGGCCCAAGCAATTAGAGTTGAAAGACCCTGAATTCTAAATTTCCCTCAACCACATATGCTGCATCCTATTTTTGAGTATTGTTAAATTCTATTTTTTACATATTACGTGGCCATACTTTAACATTTCATCTTATATTTAACCAAACATGAATGTATTTGCAAAACTATTCAGTCATTTTAAAGAAGTTTAGTTGACATCCACTTTAATTGACAAATAAATGGTAGTAACACAATTCATTCATCTGGTGAGCATTTGGGGTTGTGTGCTATGTGCTAAGCTGCTGGGGTGCATTGGTAGATGAGACCAGTTTGTTCTCTACTCCAACAGTCTCACTGGCTAGTGAAGCAAACAGGCAACAGACAAGCAAGCCAACAGAATAATTTCATGGCATGACAAGTGCTATGGAGGAAATGATGATGGTGATGTCATATGAGTTATTGGGTGGTGGGGTTGGGGAAGGCCACTTCAAATGGAGTGGCCAGGGAAGACCTAAAAGGAAGTAACTTGGAAGAGCTGGAGGAAGTGTTCCGGGCAGAGGAACTGGCAACTGCAAAGCCCTTAGGTTTGGCTTCTGCAGGGAGAAAAAGGAGGCGAGTGTGGCTGGTGCTTGATGACACCATAATGGTGACACCATTCACTTGGTTGCACTGCTAGACTTAGCTCCTTCTCAGGTGTACCTGTCATAAACTGCACAGCATTCACGTGGTCATATATCAGTATTCACCCAAGGCACTCTAGAACAAGCTACCAGAAAAAGAAACCCCTCTGGACAGAGCAATTTTATGAACTTGCCTGACTTGCTACCCTAAATCATAGCTGAGTAACAACCAGAGCTGTTCCTTGTCTTGCTGGCTTCCTTACTGTACACCAATGTGAAACTTGGCTCTCAGGAAGCCCCTCAGAATCCATTTCAAGTGACTGAAATTGCCTCAGGAAGCCCCTCAGAATCCATTTCAAGTGATTGAAATTGCAGGTGTGATCTGGAGGAAACGGTTTTCTTTCTTCTATTTCCCATTTTCAAGGTTGAAGTTCCTCTTCATTATTTTTAAAATAAATGAATGTTCATGAAATACTGCATAGTCATTTTTGACTACTGATCAGAATAAACCATAAGATCCAGTATTTGTGATGTAGATGTAAGCATACTAACAGCCATGTCAACAGCCCTTATTGCTGTATGGTGATTTATAGATAATATTCATTTGCTTCCTTTTTGGGAGGTTATCTCTATTTCTTAATATTTCTGTGATGAACATGTATAATTATAAAGACTTCCTTTCATGTGCCAAAAATAAGTGAGATCCGAATTAAAGACAAGATCCATGTAAAAATAACATGCATATCTATCATATTCTAAAGTCCTCATATACTTTTCTCTCCTAACAACAACTTTAACAATAAAATAACAACCAAATTCTTTGAACAAGACTCTGAAAAAATGTTGGGATCCTGGGACAAAAAAACCCACCTTTATACTTGTGTGGTGCTTTCCACTTACAAAGCCCTTTCACACTCATTATTTACTTATCTGTAAATATTTTGCTCAGTGCCAATCCCCCATCAAGTTCCAACAAGCTGGACTGGACAGGTGATGAGAACAGGGATCAGAAAGTTCTGAATCCCAGCCCTGCCACCTGGGGCACTGAGATTTGGGACAAGTCCCTGATACAGTTGAGCTGCAGTAACCTTCTCTGTGAAATGGGATTAAAATGTTACTACTAACCTTGTAGGACCAATAAGAATGTGAAATTTCCCAAACCCTTAGCCAGTAGCTGAGCAGGCATCCACTCATTCATTCATCGCAGAGCATGTAACAGCACCCTTACCTTACAGAGGAGAAAATGCAGCTGCAGATTTTGGGTGACTTGTCCAAGGCTACCCAAGCTAATGGGAGGCAAAACTGACCCTTTAACCCTGAGTCTAACTGCCCTGCAAGCCTTGTAGCTTCTGAGCACCAGCTGAGGATATGAGTCTTAGAGCACCAAAGCTCACAGACCAGACTATACTAGGCTCACACCTAGAGCTTTTAGAATGCATGGAAGTATTACGCAGGACAAATAATTGCTATTTTTATTTAAAGGATAACAACATTGCATCCAGATTTTTCACAGCTACTGAGGAGATATCAGTTTTGTCAGTATAGCCTCATGGGTGGACAGGGCCCTTTTCTTTTCTGGTCCCCAAAGGGGCAGAGAAATGAGGGGTCACAGAGAACAAGGAGGCCTAAATCTCTTTACCTGCAAATTCTGCCATCTTGTTCTCCAGAAATCTGAGGCTTAAACCAATTCTTTGAAAGAGGTGCGGTAAAGAGCATCACTTCTGCAAAGACGTTCAAAATTAAGCTCCGCTGATCCTTTTCCTCCCCAATCAAACCAAGTATGGTTTTCCA